TGCTGGCTTCTCCTGGGTTCTGCTGCCACTGGTGCCTAGTCATCTTTGACAGGCTGCCAGGGGCAGTTAATTCATTTTCTAAATTTTTTAGGGGCCCTATAGGCCAAATAGAATGGCTTGGTGGGCTGGATCTGGCCCACAGGCTGTATTTTGCCCACCTCTGAATTACTCTCTAAAGAACCACACTGCACTGCCTTCTCTTACAACATGAAGATGAAAATGACAGGGTGGTCTAATACATGACAGCACCAAGGAAGGAGGGGGGGGGCAAGGGAGGTTATTGCTGCAAGATATAGTCCTGCAATAAGATGAGCCAATTTGGTTTTTAATAGGTTGTTCATCACTCACTCTTGCTAGACATGGCCACTACTCTTCAGCGCCATAGCACCTATTTTACTGGTGTAATCAAATTACCATATTCAAGTTAAAGATGGGCCCATATAAAATTGTTATGCCGGAGCAAATCCAAGTTTAAAAAAAGTTCAGGGCCAGATCCAAACTTTCAGGCGTATGTCTAATGAAGACTTATTTTTCTTTACTGATGACCCAATATGTTGCTGTTTACATCTAAAGAAAAATGTGGCAAGACCTTTAAATTAATGATCTAAACTATACTGATGAAAAACATGTTTTGTGGGGGCAAAGGGCCTTCTACCGACACTGGAATGATAAGCCTGTAAGCCAGGGGTGGGTATAATGCGGCCCACCAGGCCATTCTATCTGGCCCCTGGCGTCCCTAAAAAATTTAGAAAATAAATATTAATCTGCCCTGGGCTGCCTGTCATGTGGCCCTCGATGGCTTGCCAATATTCAGCAAGCAGCCCTCTGCTCAAAATAATTGCCCACCCCTGCATAAGCAATGATCATTCTGGTCATATCCAAACAAGTGTGGCTGTACAGTTTGTGGTGCCGTAGACATGTCTGCAGTGCCACATACCGCACATTCAGCTGTTTTCTGCGCTGCAAGGCAGCAGCACAGGGTTGGGTTTTTTTGGACTCCCTGGATATCCAGGGGGTCCAAAAAAAAAAAAAACCCAACAAAAAAACCACACACACAAAAAAAGCAGAGCAGTGTATGTGGTGACAGCATGCACTACTCAAAACCAGAGAGCCTGGCCAGCCAAAGCCACATTCCAGCTGCTGCGTAAGCAGGATTGCAGCTGCTACTGCAGGCCCAGGAGACCCCAGAACCCCAGATAAGGCTGCTGGGGCCAGTCCAGTGCTAACCCCAGCCTCCCCTACCCCACTTGGGATAACTTGCCACGCACCAGAGGGTGCATGGCACAGGCACTCCCCAGGGACAACTAGCAGCAGCACAAGGTATCCTGCTGCTAGTCGTCCCTGGCAAACCAAACGTCCACGCTCATATGGACGTGGCCTCTGTGGATAAATTTAGGATAGATAAACTGGCCTTAATTTGATGTAAACTATAGATATCTGAAGATGTAGCTGTCCCACTACAGGAATCCCAAGAAGAGAAGCAACAACTATTTAGTATTATGAGAAAAATAAGCTATTGTTTGAAAAAGCAGTGCATTTCATCTTTATTTCCCATGGAAAAGAATGGTTTAATCAAAATGCACTAAGTCTAAAAGAATTACCAGTAAGTGACAAATGATAAACCTACGTGGCTTACTTTTCAAAACAAGCCCAAACCCTAAGTGTCCATGACTTCCACTGAATTTATTATAAGCCAATACTTTATTCTTCCTCTAGAATGGAGGAAATTGGACATGAAAGCTCTCTAAAAATACATGAGACTTTATTGACACAAGTGAATGGAATTGCTTCTTCCTACAGGGCACTTACACACATGTGGGGAGCCTGCTGCGATGTGCTGGAAATCCAGTGCGTTGGAGCAGACTCAATTAATCGAGTCTGCTGGAGCACTGAACTTGACACGCTTTAGCAGCCTTGCACATCACATGCATCAGTGGCGAAACGTGTCTTCGCACTGAGAAAATGGCAGTGATGTGCTTTGAAATAAAACATGTTCAATGTGCTTTAGTTCAAAGTGCCCCACTGCAGTTTTCTCAGTGAGGGGACACACTGTGCTGCTGATGCACATGATGCATGGGCACTTTCAATTAGCACAGCTCCCTAATTAAAAACGCCTGGTGCCACATCAGAAGCACATTTAAAAATGCCTGAATTAAAATGTCTTTATATCATGCTTTACAGATATTTCTTTCTTCCCTGAATAGAGACTTTTGTTCATAAATATAAACTGAAACTACTAAAAAATAAGTATCATTACAACATAACAAATCCTGTACCACGTCTTTGCAGAATTGGAAACTGTCATAACCAGGCATATCTTGTGATATTATTAAGCGTTTAAAACTTCCCAATTTCATATTATTCAAAATGGTCATGGTCTCCCATTATCTTTAAGTGATAAGCCAGCCTACTCACATTAAATAAGTCCAACCTAATCTTTACTATAAGAACCAGGCAGGAGGGAAGTGACGCAACGAAGCAATAAAATAATGTGGGAGGAGGGTGGGAGACAGAGAGCCTGAGAGGAGATCAATATAGCCTTCTTGGGAAACCAGAATCAAGTCATACAAGTGGATGCTCTTCAAAAGCTTTCATTTTCCCTCCACTTGGCCATGACTAATCTTTTGCTATGAACAATCCCATCATCTGTGAAGTTTACCAATTCTTATGAATGCCAACATTTGTGCCATTAGACAATGACCCTATAGAAACATCTGTATCTCTTGCATGAACATCTGGTGTACCAGTAATTTTGGTAGCTTTCAAGATGTTGGTATGCCAAAGATTTCACAGAGCCAATAATTTGAAGTAAAAAAAAATGCAGTTTTTTAACACACATTGTCACAAACCCACTGGCTTTCATTTTCTGTAGCAGAATAAATTAAACATTTCCAACATTTTTTAAATGACACTCAATGCTGCCACTAATTAAGAAAATATGTTAAGAAAGAATAATAAGTAAACAGAGAAATAAAGAAGAATGGCTTAGGTAATTGAAACTAAAGAGAGAGCTGCAGAGGAAAATTAGAGAGACATTTTAAAAGAACCACTGAAGGTTGGCATTATCCATATTCTAGCAAAAATAAACTTTCAAAATAGTATGGTATAGTCTTAGAAACTATGACAATCCTCAGACACCTTGGCATGGAAGAAGTTAATACTCTGGAAAGTGTGACAAAGCTACTTCCAGTATCAAAGTCAGCTCATAACCAGGAGCAGACTATATTGTTAAGCTAACTATTGTGCAAGAGAAAGTGGGCTAGCAATGTGTCAGAAGCTTTAAAACTGGGTTAAAGCCTAGTAATAATTAACACTAGTTTAATTTTTAAATTGTTAGTTGTGTGAAAAGTTAAGATTTAAGCTACTGCTGAGATATGTTCCTGCTTCTCCAGAGTGGAAAACATGTCAGCTTCCCAAGACAACCAAATATAAATCTCACTGCACTGACAGATGATTGTACCAGCAGAATTATCAGGAGGCATCCAGTGCACATTCTCCAGACACAGACCCTTTGCAGGTTACAGTAAGTGAAAGCTGAAGGTATTTTAAATCCAAAGTCTGCAGTGTTTTGCATGGATATGAACTATTGTTCCTCAGTCAGATTTCAGGGTTTGCCAGTTGTCCTCAGTATATGCTGATTCAAATAAATATTGCCTTGTATAGCAAAATACAATTTCTTAAACATAAATATAGACACATTCTATGCCAGACAGAGGCAATAAAATATCATTAGAAAAGAAAGTTTCTTCTCCCCATGAGAAGGACAGAACTCCAACAAAGACTAGTGAGAATATGTACATATTGTAGGAAAAATAAACTGTCTACTGAAATTGTTGCTACGTAAGTCCACAGGAACTTGGGTGTTGTCAGTTATTTTATCAAGAAAAACTCTTAGCTTTTAATTTCTTCTTGTCATTATTGTTAGCAGTAGACTATGAAGTCACCAGTTTTTAGCCAAATTGGATAAATAAAACCACTAGAAACAAGTAGCATCCTATTTCTCATAATGGTAAACATGATGTATACAGTTAGAATAAACTAGGGGTGACCAACTTGCGGCATAGACGCAGCAAGCGGCACAAGCACTCTGTGCGTGGCGCACAGCAGATTGGGGAGTGGAGAGGCAACAGTGTTAGACAGGGCCAGGAGCAGGAAGTAGAGCTTCAGATCAGGCAAGGAGCACTTGGGGAGAGTGTGGGGCTACTTTGTGTCATGCCTACCAAAAGGGTTGACCACCACTGGAATAAACCTTGTACAACATTAATTTAAACTCTTTTCTAGCTCAGTGGCCTCAAAAGTTTTTGCTCCTTTTTAAGCTAGTTGGAAAAAAACCCAGTAATTTTTAACCACTTTTTAAATATAGTGGATTCCTCTTATTGGAATCACTTTGGGAAATGGGGATTTGATTCTATTAACCAGATGATTTCATTAAAAGGAGACCCATTTTTTTTAAAGAACATGCAGATACTCCCCCCTCCCCCACAGCCGCCTGACCCTGCTTGTGCCTCTCACTCCTGTCCTCCCCACAGCCCTGCTGGGGCCCCTCACCCCCCACCCACAGCCCCCTGCCCCCCAGCCCTGCTGGAGGGGGGCCCAGCTGCCAGGGCTATGGGGCCAAGGACCTGAGTCAGCAACCCCTTTCTCCCAGAAGGAGGCAGTGGCTGCTGCAGCAGAATGAAGCCCAGCTCCCCTCCTGTTGCTGCCAGCTGTGGGTTTGGGCACAGGGCCAGCCCCCTGGCACAGTGCACACTTCTGGAGGGGCAGGTGGGGACCTGCACCCCCCAGATCTGTGCAAGGGTAGGGGGGTGGGCAGGCACAGGCAGTGAGGGCAGCAGCATGGGGTTGTGCTCCTCAAAGCTACCATGCATGCAGGAGGCACATCACCAGGGAGTCCAGCTCCTGCACCCTGCCCCACAAATGAGCCATCCATGCCCTGTCCCACTCCCCACTGGTGCCCCAGCCCTGCCCAACTCCCTCCCTACATAGGCTCAATCCCCTCCTGCCCCCCACAGTCTGCGGGAGCTGCCCTCCAGGCTGCTTGGGGCCATGTGCATGTACATGTACATGGCGCCCCCTGCCTGACCGCCCTCCTCTTGTTCTCTTCCAGCCCCCTGTAGGCTGGAATTATGCCAGCCTGCAGAGGGCTCCTCACAAAACTGCAAAATCCCTGGGCTTTTCCAGTAAAATGATTCCAAAAACCCAAAATTGTGATTCTAATTTGAGCAATTTTTACATGTAATAATATACAAATGGTTTTGGTTGTATCATATTGATTCAAATAAGCAGCTGATTCTATTACCTAGCAATTCTATAAAGTGGAACCCACTGTAAAAGCAAAAGGAATTCAGAAATAAAGACTAGATTTACAAGGGGACTTGGCTGCTATTTACAAACCAGAGGAGACAGAGCTGGTGGTAATGCCTGCCCCTAAGCACTCATGCAGAAGAACTTAGGTCTCTTGACAGTCGGAAAAAATAAATGTCCGCAAAATTGAGTTAGGAATTCTGGGATGAATTTTTTTCAGTCTTTCCTGCGGGAGCTGTTTCACTTTTTATAAAACAATGAAATCCTCACTGGAATTGAGACTGGAACCCTAGCTTCACTCCACTCAGGTGGGTGTCCTGACCATTGTGCTACAAAGCCTCTCCCTGCCCCCTTTCCAAGTATTTTCTTAGAGTAATTTATTAAACAAATTTAGACAGCCATACTGTCCACCCCATCACTGCTCCCCATGCCACTAAGTAGCATCATTTGAGAAGCTGTTTTCCTTGTGATTTGCTCTTTACAACATAGGACTCCACCTTAAATATACTAGGAAAAAAATCTTCCTTTGGCAAAGGTTGTAAGTCTTGAAGAAATACTTGTCTTTACATAAGGCCAAGTACAGTTCCTCCTGTGTAGCTTTATTAGGGAAAGACAGAGGAACTCCAGGCCCTAAACCATTTGCATAGGAATCAATCATCATATGGTTGTTTCTGCACAATAAATTCAAGGGATGAGAGAATTAATGTGTCCACAAGGGTTTTGCAAGTGCCAAGAAAAATTGAACAAACATACTGATACAAAGTGTAGTTGTGCATCCTGCTCTCCATACCCCAAAGGATAAATTTCAGTTCCCAGCCCTCTTCTTCACAATATACCAGTGAGTGCACTTTTATTTCTAAGGGCCTCAGTACTCAATTTGCAAGTGCTCTACAGTTTCTCCAAGCAGGTTCTACTGAAATGCAAACAGGTTGAGCCTAAAAAAAGCCCTAATAACGTAACACCATTTATTTCATGAATGATTTTGACTGCAACGAAGTCACGCTATTAGCAAATGGCTTGTACTATACAGCACATATACCTGTGTAACTGTGGGATCACGCCTTGGATCCCATCACGCCTTATTGTTACCACAGGGGGAGCCCAATCATGGGATCCCTTGCAGTAGCAAGAATTAAGTTCCTGTGGCTAGTAGCTCCCTCACCTTGTGGCTAGGAGACTGCAGCTGCTGTGATCTCCTAGTTGAGGGGGGCACATCATGCACCCCATGGTAGGGAGTCCTGTCAGCTGATGGGACTCCCAGCTGTAGGGACATATGCTCCCGCAGCTGGGTGCTCCCAAGCTTGGTCGTGACAGGACTCCCTATCATGGTAGCACAGGCTACACATGCAAATTAAAGCTGGATAGAAACCAACTATCAAGTTATTACACATTTTCCAGCAATAACTTAAATTGCTGGTTGGACCTTTTAAAGGTGCCATTGTTAATTTGCATGTGTAGCCAGTCTAAATTAGTTAGGCAATTAACCAGATAACTGCATAATACATGTAACATGTTTAGGGAACCTAAGATACTACCATTTCTCTGAAAAGTAAAAATAAAAAAACAAACCTACTAAAATAAGAAAAAATTCAGCCTCACAAGAGACTTTCAAAAACCTCAAAAGAAGATGAAACTGGAGCTGGAGAAAAGAAAAAAACATGCCTCAAGTTAAGAATATTCACAATAATTTAATGATGTAAAAGTGGCAGCAGCCTCTATTAGAACACATGGAAATTTGAACATGTGCAAAGCAGATGTTTGTACAAGATAGTTAAGACTACACAGATTTGAATTGTTTAATCAAATAAAAAAGAAAGTAATGACTGAGTGAGGTGATTTCATTATATAGAGAGAAGTAATGGAATCAGGGATGCACCTTCCCAGTAAAATGGTATATATTTTCCCAAGAGAAGTGGTGGATACTCCATTACTTTATACTTCTAGAACTGGATCTAATCATTTATATGTTTCTCTAATGTCTATAATATACCCTAATTTTGTTTAGAAATGTACTGCCCCTCTAGTGTGTGCATAGCTGAGGACCAGAAGGAGGGCACAGCTAGTTTGGTTTGAGTGTAAAGAGGGATTAGGGTCAAAAGGAACTCTCCTTCCTCCATACACATGGGCAACCCTGTTATATCCTGTTCCTTACCTACCCTAAGGTTAGAGAGAAGGTTCAGGCTGGACATCAGGAGACATTAATTTACAGTTAGGGCTGCCAGGCTCTGGAATGGGCTCCCAAGTGAGGTGGTGCTCTCTCCTTGGCGGTCTTCAAGAGGAGGCTGGACAGATATTTGGCTGGGGTGATATGATCCCAGCACCCGTTCCTGCCCGTGGCAGGGGGTCGGACCTGATGATCTGTTTAGGTCCCTTCCAACCCTAAGTACTATGATACTAGGTACTCTAGATTGGGACCACTAGGTGAAAGGATGGAAGTAAATGGCACCATTGGTGTCCCTCATGCAGGTAAAGTATAGTTTACAACTCCAAGATGAGAGGTATTCTGTTTAATATTCATTTTACCTCTTAGCCCTGCTTAATTATGATTCCATACCTTTGTATAGAACACATATAGCCAAGGAATAAGACATCGGATGCTATATTTATATAAAGAGCTGGCTTACAGGAAAGTGACTTTCCCAAATGATATTCTCCATGTTTCCTAGTTCAGACAAAAAATAGCCATCAGTACAGGTATTTGGAATTTACATTGTAACAGTTAACAAGTTGGGTCTTATTTATTTATCTTTAATTTGGTGGTATTAACAGACTACCATAAGCTTCAAATGATAAACAGTTAACAAAAAATCCACTTCACTTCTGCCCTCTCCCTGGTATGTTGAACAAAATATTTTTATTTAAATTGGGGAACCAAAGTTCCTCCTGGATTTTAGCCATCCCCAGGCAGCTGTATTTGCTGATGTGTGTGGGATTCATGTGGGGAAATCCCATTAAAGATAATTGGAATTTTGTGCATAAGATTTGTGCACATTTGAATGTCAGTGTTTGTTTAGTTATTTTAGAAATAAGAGCCTGGATCTCCTCCAAGTATGAACCAGTTCACAGCTTCACTACTTATCTTGAATATTAGTTCATACGACGTATAATTTTATTACAACAGCTTAGATCTTTTAGCACCATTCCTCTCCCACCCAGTGTATGAGTAATGGAAATGAACATAAAAGGAACAGAAGAGACTACTTGCAAAATTCTATTTCT